TTTAATTATATTGAAACAGGATCCTAACTTTATTATAGAGGGCTGCTTTTGCTGATAGCCCGAAACAAAGATTTTAGGACATACTTCTGTGATTCCTCCTAAATAATGTAAGTGCTAAACAAAGTTAAGACACCAAGGTGCTAAAATTACCATAGTTATGCCACATTAATCTTTTCATTAGTAAATTTAAAAAAATCATAACTTTCCATCGCAAGTCATAATGTTGATGGGGCATCTTTGATCTTAAGAAAAAAAATTATCCCAATGGGAAGCCAGAAGTGTTTTTGATTATTATCTTTAAAGTAAAAAATTCCTTAGGTGAAATTCAGTATGAAATGCATCCATGCAATGATGAAGGTGAGTGAATATGTCAACATCTGTACCTTATTAAATCTGAACTATTTTTACTAGGCACTGAACCGAAGAGACCAAATACCCTGATAAAACCAGAAACTTCAGGAATGGATCTTTGAAGGCCTTTCTTGTTCTCTGATTATTGAAAAATGCAACTTAGCTTTATTCTATTATGCTGTATATAAGTTTCAACACCACCAATTTGCCCAGCTGCAGATCACTGTGATCCAAAACAATTTATTCTAAAAATGCCCAAGCCAAACATGAATTTCTACTCAGTCATCCTGGGTACCAGAATGGATTACTAAAATGTGTTTTTCATGGGTTTGGGTAATGCCAGATGTAATAAGATTCAGCTTATATTGTTCTGAGTCTAAAAAAAAACAACCAAAAAAAAGGTCGGTAGTGGATTTTCTTGGGATTAACTATTACAATTATAAACTTTCAGAGAAGGTAACATTTTAAGGCATATTATCAGAAAGAATTCTTCAAAAATTAAATTACCCTGTGTTCTATCAAACAAATAATGAAAAATATTCAAGTCAGAAGCAATCATTATATAACCATTTAGTCTGACTTCCTGCCTAATAAAACAGATCATTTTACCTAGTCACACCTGTACTGAGACCACTAATTTATACTGTATTATATCATATTTTATAGAAGGGCAATGAGCACCGATTGGCATCTACGCCAAAGAACAATCTACCATATACAAAAACAGTATAGTAATCTGTAGGGCCCTAATCCAAAGGGCACTGAAGAAAATTAAAACCTTACCACTAACTAACTTTTTGAAATAAAAACAGTCTTAGAATTGCTCTATTAATAAACAAAAGTTATTCAGATCTAAGTCATGTGTGGTGAAAACTTCTTAAAAATGTGTCTATATTACTTCAAGTTCAAACATTCTGAGATTTTGATTTATTTTATTTTATTTTTTTTACAGAAGACTAGAAAATTATTTATTATAAGAAATATAGAAGCCAAAAATCCTTTGTCACAGAAACCCTCACTAAGCAACGTGAAGAATAGGTTACCAGATGAATGTTGGTTAACTAATTTTAATCAGTCAGTTCTACCTGCCAAATGTGTCATGGCTCTTAGAATGCATTTCTTTGCCTGGACTACAGACCTGCTGGAAGTATTATTAGCCAAAACAGAGTATAAAACAAACAAAACACTGCTGAAAGTAAAATTATAAAGTTTGTTAGTTGATTGTGTTTACATCCAGTTCTTAAATACATAGGAGGTTACAGTTTATGAAGAAATAAGGAGTCCATTAATTCAATCATTCAGTCCTGTAATACAGAAAACTTTTAGCATTCATTCTACTTCTAGCACATGTATGGTATTATACTAATATACACAAAGCAAGTTCAAGACTTCTTTGAGTTGCACATAGCTTTAATAGTCAAGAGTTCCCTAAGTCAGGAACTGCTAACAATATGGCAGGACACCCAGGACTTCTGGCTGCCACCAACACCATGATCACGGTGACAGCAACTGTATTTTCTTTCCACCCTCCCCCACATCAGTACCCAGTGTAGCTGCCCCAGTCATCTTGCCCTAGTCATGCCACTTGGTTTGACTATGAACAGAATTAGGCTTGTGGTGTCTTTTGGGATTCCTCAATGACATATACTACCATGGACAACACAACAGAAGACTTGCTTTGATGCTAAGCCTTCAATTTGACATTACTCTGTCAATAATCTTAAGCTTTGCATAAAGTGTATATATTTGAGGTTTACGATTTATCAAATGTAACAGCCATCTTCTAATTCCAGTCCTCCATACCAATCAACCCAGCTATAATTAAAAACCTACTTAGAGGAGAACTCGGTATTATATAAAGTGCTATCTATATTAAATGTATGCATCTTAACTCTAGCTATTATGCGTATCTTTGCATTTGGCAGACATGACGTTGATATGTATAATTTGAAGTTTAATTTAAATACCTCTATGGCTCAAAGACTATGTACGAGTTAAGAGCTATGGTTCAGGTTCTGGATAAGGTTCATCTCAAAATGTGGCATGTCATCTTTAGACATAGTCACTATTTTAATTTCTAGGTATACTATGTTTTCCTATTTGAAATCTATGGGTTTCTCTTATGACTCGCTTGTAAGCATTTGCACACCAAAGGCTCCTAGCACACATTCATTTAATGGCATGATATGACACGTAGGCAATGGATGCTACATGTGCATGGCAGGAAGCATGATTCTTGGGATCAGATTCCATTGTGCTGTTACTTGCTAGGGCAGGGGGAGCCTGGTGAGTTGAAAGAGGAGTGCCTACAGGTCCAGCTGGGGCTGGCAATCAGCTGATTGTCAGATCTAGATGAGATCAGGAACTCCTAACGGCCCCAGTACAGTCTGGGGGAAGAAACGGAGATGGAGAAGTCTTTCCCTGTAGGTTGATTTTGGGAGCCTCTGACAGTAGCAACCTTAGGGGAGGGCAAACTGGGCAACTGCCCAGGGCCCCACACTTTTTAAAAATAAAAATTACACTGAATATTTGTATTATCAATATAGTATTAAGATACTTGCATTGCAGTTTCATGGATAAGGCAAAGTGAAATTGAAAATGTCCGACTTGCTTATAGGTCATCAAAATTAAGCCTCTAAGGTGCCCCAAATGACTCTCTTGCCCAGTGCCCCAAAACCCCTAAGGCCACCACTGCCTCTGATCTCCAGGGCTGCCTATAGATGTGCTCCAATGCATTCGAATTAGAATGCATCAGAGCAGACTCAATTAATCGAGTCTGCTCTGTTTAAATTAGAACACTTTAGCATCACCTCAGCGGCATGTGCAGTAAGCCCCCTTGCATTTCAAAATGGCTACAGGAGCACTTTAGTTAAAGCTCATTTGATGAGCTTTAGTTGAAGTGCCCCATGGACATTTAGAAATGCATTACACCATAAACTGGCTTTAATGTGTGACCAGGTTACAATCTATAGGACAACTAATACCTTAATCACATCCTAAATGTAACTGGTCCCAAGGCCCTAAGTGTGCTAATATTGCATTGCATTCTTAAAAAATCCCACAGAGCCCGAGTTTGACAACACCCCGATTGAAAATCATTGTGCAAATCATTGGGTCAGTTTCTGCAGTGCTTAGCTTGAAGTTCAGTGAGAACCAATGGAAAAGATTCTGAAGTACATCTGGGAAAGTCCACTCACAATTAGAAAAGTGGTAAGAACCTCCGTTGCAATTACTTTGCTAGGCAGTACTTAAAAAGTAAGAATTGTAAGGACTTAACATCCACGAGAATTAATTTAATACTATGCATTGGGTTCAATTTTCAAGAGTGCTTAATTTTCACTTTAGATATTTAAATCCTGTTTTGGGCTAGTCTTAATTCCAAGACTGCAATCCATATGGATTCCTTTTAACCACAGTTAGGTAACCAAGACCCACAGGATGCACAAGCTTTCACTATTAAAGCACCTCTGCAACTGAAGTTCTGTTCTGCATATACTCCAGGTGCAACCATTTTATGTCCAGGAAAGAGGAGGATTTCAGATGCACCTTTCTTCAGTGCTAGCTTAACCATCACCTGCTCAGCACGAAGGTTATTTTGATTCCCCATTCCTAAACACCTCTCTTTCCCCATTCATTGTATAGAGAACTTAGGGGGCTAATGGAGATTAGTAAATACTCCAGGGGGCTGATGCCTAAAAGTTAGAATGGTAATGCCAAATATCACCATGCCTAATAGTCTTTAAGTGGATCTGACCCTTTGGCACTTAGGCCAAACTCACTCATTGTACCACATGGATGTATTCCACTGTGTGTGTTTTGCTGCTAGACACCAATACGCTTTTGGTGACAGCATTAAACAAGTCTGTCTTGGCCTCATTGAAATGGGGGAAAAAAAAGAGGGAAAAAAGGCCGCATGTTATATCTAAAGTATAGTTCATATCTTCACATTTGATGTTGAAAACAACTTTTAAGATATTTTAAAATGTAAGTAGTTTTGGTTTAGGGCTTTAATTGCCTTTATACAGGCTATTTAACCTACTGGTACTGTGTGTCATCTGTAAAGGAAAGCTAGTCATGAATCAGGGACTTCAAAATGTGGTGGGGGAACTGCCTTGATTTCAGCCAGAAAGAAAGTTAAAACAGCTGTTGGTCACTTTCCGATTCTGGCATACAAGCTACTACTCTAAAGGCCCTGGAGATCTTCAAAAGGAGCCTGGATGCACATCTTGCTGGGGTTATTTGACCCCCAGCAGTCTTTCCTGCCCAGAGCAGGGGGCCTGGACCCAATGATTTCACGAGGTCCCTTCCAGCCCTAAACTTCTGTGAATGTATGTGACTGCAAATGTATTTCCCTTTGATTTACATATGCCAGTTACCAAAAAGGAAAGCAATTTAAACATCCGAGTTTAAAAATATCGCTCTGGTAGAACGTTATCTTTGTCCAAACCTGTTAGACCATGCAAGCAGGTCTGTGTGTAATGAGGAAAGATGTTCAACATGGAAGTAGCAGTGGTTTGACTGTAGCCTATTACACCAATGTTGCATTTTTTCAAAACTTGTCTCATGATTAGAAAGCTCTCTGGCTACTCACATTTTTAAACACATAATTTCTGAGTTAAGTGAAGTCGCACACAAAATTCACCACTCACTTATCTGACTCCCTGTGGATCCTGGGATGAGTCACTTCACCTCTCCATGAGCCAGCCTCCCTGTAAAATGATACCCATAGTTATCGAGTAGTATATTATAAGGGTTGGGATACAGAACTTTGATGCTTCTGCAACTTAGCTGTTATTCCTTACTCCTTGCACCTCTAGGATTCCCGGTTGGCTTCAGTGAGTAACCAAATAAAGAGCAACAGTTTTTCAATCAAACTCCTTCCCTGTGAGCCTTAAAGAGAAGGCATTTCTTTTGGAAGTTTTTGCCTGCCAAAGGGTAGCAAGGTGAAAAAGAACTTAATAGTATCTGCCCTGTTGTAGTTAGGTTTGCTAAGGTCTTGATTCACTAGGATCTTGTTTCTTTTCTTGCACTGGTTTTACACTGCTATTCTTCCATTAAGCTTCAGAGGGCTTATTCAAGATGAAGTAGTGTGAGTAATAAAAGCCTCCGAAACCAGTGGCTACAACCCTCTGTCATATGAAAAGGTAATGACCTTTAACTGAAGCCAGATCACGTCTCATTTCTTACCAGAATTCCTATATGTCAGATCTCTGTTACAGTGAAACACATTATGTGTACAACCTCCACCTCAAAAGAAAACTAAAAGAGCCCCCGAGAGAGCATCAAATATGTCATGAGCCAAACAGAAACTTCCCATGCTTGAGTCAGGGTTCTGAGATTTCTCATAAGAGATAACTCTTCTAGAGCTCACCATTCTCTTGGGATCTTTTAAGTTCTGTAGCAGATTTCATCTAAAAAAAAAGTACTTTCTTATTTCTACTGATGCTGCAGAGATCAAAGACAACCTAGTAAACCTCACAGATTGAATTCCAATTCCACATATGGAAGGGAAGGTAGTTATTTTTTTCCAAACTAATACACAAAGTAAAATATAGAGAAGAATCGGTTTACAGAAGAATGTATCATTTACCATGGCAAGGTTACTGTGTGCATGTGCCAGTTGCTTAACTGCTGCTTTATCACTGAAGTTGCTCTTTTTAGAACAATCCAGCTCAGAGCCAGAAGACAGCATGTAATAACTTGTGACAAGGTTTTGAACATGAAGTCTTTATCAATGCCAACTACAATAACCCTGCAACGTGCAGAGGCTATTTTGGGAAAAGCACCTTATTATTTTGGAGATCTTTCTGAACATCCCAGTCAGAAATGCCTGACCCAGCCTTAGGCAAACAAGGTTCTTTGGATAAATGTGATCTCTATTATTTGTTTTAAGTTGTTCTGAAAACTATTCTGCTGATAATTAGCTAAAATACAGACTGAAAAAGAAAATATACAAGAAAAATGGAAAAGTTTTTTTAACCTCATTGACATTGTATCCCAATTCATGAGATTTGGGCTGTAGCCACAAGAAGACATATTACTTTGGGGAAGAGGAGGGTGTTAAATTTTCCAGTGATTTGGATACCTACAGCATGTCTGGAAGGCCTCTCTGACACCGGGCCCACCACCCACAAAGCCCCACCTACTCAAGGATGCCAGGAATCAGGAACTGTGCAGAATAGGCAGTTTGGAGTGACCCTGACTGCTTGCCCCCAAGGCCATGTTACTGTTTTCTGTTTCGAAAGAGTGAAAGCAGCACTGGAGGGCCAGGGATGGGGATGGTTCAGGTTCATTGTTATCCACTACTCTACAAGATTAGAGTTCTGTTGAGCCTGACTGGGAGCAAGTGGGAAGGGCTTTATTTTTTTTTCCCTCAGCCAAAGATAGAGTTGAGAAGTCAATGGTACAGGCATGGCCTAAGTCAACTGGGTAGGTCTGAAAAATCTGCTCTTGGACAGCAGTGAGACTTTGCAGATTGATTACATTTAAAATGAGTAACTTACTCCATAACGGCAAAGTCAACCTTGGACACAGATATATCAAAACTGCTGGTGGAGTCCCTTAAAACCACTCGAGAAGGGAGCCATGTGAAAAATGTAGAAAGTGGGAAGATTTTTCATTTCACTAGGAGGTTGGTGGCTGTTGATGCTCTGAAACCAAGGAGAGCATGAAAATCACATCAACTGCCAAGCCAAGCCAACAACTGTTAAGCTTGCAGATCTTGTGGGCAACAACTCAAATAACTAGAACACATATTTAAAATGGTCACAACCATGACTGAAAGAGAGAGAGAATCAGAAATATGAAAAAGGAAGCAAGTCATGAGGAGACGACAGGTCTCCACTGTATAGAAGTGTGTCAAAGAAATCAGAGAACCGAGATTTTTGTTATTATTATTAGTGATATTACAATCTCTACTGAAAGACTGAAAACTGAGTCCTCTGCTATGGATATGCTGTGCTAAATTCTGTGGGCCTTTAAGACTGCTTTCTGCTGCTTTGAGGGCACAAAATGGTTTTAATAGTCAGTTTGACAACTCTGGGGATTTTCCCATACATGAGAATCCTAAAATCAGCTGCTTCATATTCTAAGGCCAAGCATATGAGGCATACCTCCTCATACAGCTAAGGAAGGATGAGTTACCTTGTACACGGGATCACTGGCACTGGATACAATTTAGAGCTCCGAGGTACAGTCAAGGACATGGCCCCCCTAAAGTCCTGATACAAGGCAAAATGTGACACCACTCATTTGATGGGCTCTTACCAGTGCTGACTGAAGTTCAATAACAAGTGCAGGAAAACACACTCTATAACCACACATTAGAGCTGAACCTTCTTCTGTTCCTCCTTAATGGCAAGAGAATGTCCAACAGTTTTCAATGGGAGATAGGTGCCTAATCCACTTAGGCATCTAGTGGAATGCAAATGTATCTGTTTGCACCTTAGGGCCATGTCCGGACAAGAGCAGACATTTGTTTCCCCAGGGACAGGTAGCGGCAGCACACCTCATGCTGCTGATACTTGTCCCCAGGGAACGCCCATGACATGCGCGCTCTTATCTGGGGTCCTGGGGGCCTCGGACAGCTACAGCCATGGCACCCCTGCAGCTGGGAGCCTGGCTGGCAGCCAGAGTGTAGCTCCAGCTGGCCAGGCTCTAGTTTTGAGCTGTGCACACTCCACCACATGCGCTGCCCCACTTTTTTTTGGTGTGGTTTTTTTTTGACCCTGGGATCTCCCAGGGTCAAAAAAACCCACAGCATCCGGAATGCCTGCATGTGCGGCGCTGCAGATGGGTCTGTGGCACCACATACTGAACGTCCATGCTCATCTGCCTGCAGCATAGGTGTCCAAATTTGTTTCTTAATTTGCCACAAAGATATGAGTTCTTAGTAACTGTAGGAAAGGCAGAACAAAACAAGCCATTTAAGGAAGCTATAGAATTTCCTATTGGAGGTTTTCAAAAAGAGGGTAGATAGGCATCTGTCTGGGATGGGTTGAGTATAGCAAAACATTCCTCTCTGTAAGAGGTTGGAGTAGATTGTCTCCTCCAACCCTGTCATTCCAGTTTCCATATTTATTCCCATATTACACACATTTCCCTAAAATCAGCCCTCCAAAATTGGGAGAACATGTCTAAAGCAGAGAAGCTGATTTTCTGCACTGCAACTGAAGCATGTAATAGCTTCTTGTAATGGCTGTCATGGGTTATGCTTCTCTCCCAGCCCAGTGCAGCCTTCAGTGTCACAGTTTTAACCCTATTACAGCTGCGGAGCAGTGGAACTTTAGTTCTGAAGCTGCAGCTAGAGACTGAGTGATGCTGAAGAGTGGCCTCCACCCATCCTGCCTGAGGCCAGCATTCAGCCATGTTGAGCCCATGCTGTGGAAGTTAACATTCAGAAAAAATCTTTTTTTAATTTTTTATTTCATTCTTCCTTCCCTAAATAAAGCATGTGTATTATTTGAGATGGTGTGTATGCAAGTAAATTTGGTTGTATAAATAATCTCATCTGTGTTTTTAAGGCAATATATTTTCTTTGATTTGTGCTGGCTAATTTCCTTCAGTTGTGACTAACTACATTTATAATTGTAACTGTCTAGTTATATTGTTGCTTCTAAAAGTAATGGGCAGTTTTTCAAAGCAATGAAAAAAAATTAACTATGCTCTGCAAGTTACTTCATACCGGTAGCCCCCCTAGTCCCAAAAGACTTGTTAGGCAGCTGCAAATTCTCTTGCCCTGGCCATTAACAATTATACACTAATCAACTCACAACCTTTCCCCCATTTCTTTAAGTCTTATTGTGTTCAGACACCACTTCATTCAGTCACCTCTTGTAGTGAGTCATTCCCTTCCCATATAACTAGGTCACTATAAGTATTTATTTTCTTAAGTGTAGAACTATTTAGAGCCTACAGTTAACACCGTTTTTGACAGTGCAGTTATCATAAACAGTGAACTCAGCTCCTTTCCTTTATGCTCCCATGACAGACAGAGATAAGCAGTAGAGAGTGTATTAAAACATGATTAGGAACATTCAGAGAACCAGTCTGATGGACTAGCTAACCGACAGAAGTAGCTACTTTTGGACTGCTCCCTACCTATAAATATGAGATCAGAAGGTTGTAGCCCTTTTACAAACTTATGTACCAATTGTAAAAAAAAAACTGATACAATTCTGAAATTTTAAATAAAAACTTAACACTTAAAAAGCACTTTTTCATCTTCATATGCTAATTAACAAGTGAATCCAATCCTTCTAACACTCTTGGAAAATCAGTATGTATCAGTTAATAGTGCAACCAGTTTTATGGAAGAAGAGACTATAGCACAAATTGATTAAGTGACTTGCAAGACAAGCAAGTCAGTGTCAGAGGCAGAACTAGAAACCAGGAGATTCTGGGTCCTGAGTTCAGTGTAGAGGTCACAAGACATCATTATTCATTTCTTAGCAAAATAAAATAAATAAATACACAAAAATCCCAAGCACAGACAAAAGGACCAGTACATTCAGGAAATAAAGAATGGCACATGTCTTTTCACTTCAAGGTGATTAGCTCAGTTCTGATCCCAGGCTCTCTCTGCATTGCCAAGTTGAAAGCCGGATGGCCTGCAGGTCCAAAGCTAGGGCCAACAATCGGCTGATCATCCATTCCAGCCCCAGGCCTGCCACACATTCAATTTAAGGCACCATACAAATCAGCCATATAA